CGGGGAGGGTTGGATTGTGGCGGTGGTGCTGTGTCTGTGGTGGTTGTTTGACGTTGACACTGATCAAGTTAGCTGATCTGATCGCGATGAGATGATCTCATCGTGGGTGTTTGTTGATTTATACGTTTACGATTTCAAAACCGGATTGTTTTCCACTGAATGCTCATTTTTATATAGCACCACCACACCACAGTGACGCACAAGTCGAATCGCTCGAATTTCCATGAAACTCTTCTTTCATTTTCATGCAACTACACAAAATGCTACGGAATTCACTGAGTCAACACCGATTGTTCACATGGTGCAGTTGTTTTCTTTCGTTTTGCTTGCTTTTGCATGCATCATTAAATTATTATAACAAGTTTTGTATGAGATTTATGTGAATTATGCGATTGACTGATTAATTTGGTGATTGTTGATGATCCGTTCTGTTACATAATCGTTTTGGAATGCCATGCAACAGTCTACGCTCAACGAATTGCAATTTGCATTGTTTCTGATTGATTCACTTTTATGACTCCATTTTTTCAGACGTTTTGTCTCATACGAAACTCATTGTTTCGCATAGAGAATCAATCGATTCATTATGTTTTCTGCATTGAATTTTTCTCTGATTGTGCGAACATTAGCAAACTTGCATTGAAATTTAAAACACGTTGGTTGCATTAATGATGTCTTATGGCTGGTTTCGGATCGTGAATTTGGAAGTTTCAAGCCATATTTTCAGTTTTCAGTTGAAAGTTACGATTTTCTTCAATTGTGAAACTACATGGCCAATTTACTTGCCATTTTCCAGCTATTTCCGAAAATGGTTTTAATCGTTAGTTGATAGGAGGAGTGGAACTCTTGTCATTTGCGTTCTAGTTTACCATGAATTTGCAGTTTTTTAAATGAACGGTCACAAACTTGAATAATAGACCACCGCACAATTTTGTTTCTTGTTCTTCCCGATGTCACCGTAACTAGGATCACTTGGCGCTGTCGAAAAAGCCGACTCTCTCAATGCAGGCAGACCATTTCTGTTGTCTGTTCCTCAGTAACTCTCTCAGTTTGTCTCATGGCTTGTTAACAGAAACAGTTCAGTGTCGGAACTTCCTTGATCCCTTGCTATGCTTATAAATGCGTTTCTCAACATTCCTCAAACATACATATCCCAGTGTTTCTTTGCATTTCATGCAGCCATCCCAGTCGTTCAGTGCAATTGCTCTCCTCATCAACGAACTTTGCATTTGTGCTGCAGTTGTATTCGTCTTCATGGTTTTCCCGCAAAATCGCTCGCTCGTACGTTGTCGTCCAGCATTATCGTTCGAAAATTTAACGCGTGTGCAATGACATATCGTTGTTTACACTGTTGTTTACCTCTGAAAATTATTTATTTTGCTTAGGTTCTCTTGTACACTTGTTTATGTGTCTTATGAACACTTCAAAGCATATTCATAAAGCCATAAAACTGGGCAAAATAAGCGAGAATATGGGTGGGTGCTTTTGCAGTCGGATGGTGCTGGCTTGTATGGTGAAAAAATGTTTTGGCTGTTTTTAGTGCGGATAGTTTTACGTAGTCTTGAAGATTGAGATTGTTCCTCGAGGCAATTGTTTCGCAATGATTTTTGGTTCACTTCTTGTATTCGCTCTTCAAAAATTCAGTCTCTGAATCAGCAGATATGGATGGTCATAGTGGACTAGTAAAATCGTCACAAGGAACGATCGTACAGGTAGTGCGGCAAGGAGGCTACGGCAACATGTCACAGCCAATCTCGTACTCGAGTGTTGATTCGGGCGGTGTGACAAGCCAGAATCAACGATACGTCACGACCACTGTGAGTTTTATAGTTATGTTGAAATGCTCTAATGAGTTGGTTCATAACTGATATTCGAGAGTAGGTGGGTAGATTTGAGAGCAATGTGCAGAAGATAATTTCGGTTTGATTACGGAGAATGGAATTTGAATTCTACTTTTTAATTAAGTTTGTTTGGTGTTGAATTCGGTTGTTTGAGTTTTGGTGTAATTTAGTAAAACCTCAAGGGATAGTAGTATTCGTAACAATAATGATAATAACCAGCAGCAATGCATCAATAATATTGTTGAAAGCGTCCCTAGATTCATTCACTGGTATGTTTGCAAGTTCGTTTGACTTTCTTCTAATCGATTGTAGTCCGGAAGTGCGGCCATGAGACGTCTAGCTTCGCAGCCGTCACAGCCCTCGATGATCGCTCGTAGTGGCCTCACGACAGTGACCCCAGTTCAACCCCGTTTTATGGCATCAAGTCGATTGGGTACTCCGCAGAGTGTACCAGCAGTTGCATACGGCATCAAACGTCCATTCACTCGTGACTACGCTTACGAGTTCAGCACAGTTCGAAAATTCTTGCGAGGTGCTGATAAATCGAAAGGATTGAGGCATTTCAGTACGAAAGTTTGTGAGAAAGTCAAAGAGAAAGGCCACACCAATTACAATGAGGTATGTCGTTTATCGGATGGAGTGTTACTTCAATAAGGCATTATTCATTTCTGCAGTTGAGCAAATTGTCATGAAGAAATTTGACTAGGTCTTTGATGTGATTATGACATAACAATGAAGTAGTTATTGCAATTCAAGAATACGTTAATTTTATTTGACAGGTTGCTGATGAACTGGTAACTGAATATTTCGATTCGTTGAGTCAACCACCTGGAGATTCGGTAAGTGTCACGTTTTGCTCGTTGATTCGCTCGTGTTTGCAACTGTTTCGAATTATCACAGTTATTCGTCAAAGAATATTGAGTTTATGCTCAGCACTGATGAACCGGTTCTTACGAGTGATGGTGCAGTTAGTATTGGAACGTAGTGATTTGATTGATCTTAAATGTTTTGAATATTGTAAATGTATTGTAATGTGTATGGATAGTATGACATTGATCGGTTGTTTCTAAAGGAGAAGCAACAATACGATGTGAAGAATATTCGACGACGTGTCTATGATGCACTAAATGTTCTGATGGCAATGAATATCATCGAAAAAGAAAAGAAGGAGATCCGTTGGGTTGGCCTTCCGACGTCGTCGTTTCAAGAGTGCCGAAGGCTGGAAGAAGAGAAAGAGAAACGGCATGAACGAATCAGGCAGAAGGCTGAACAACTTCAAGAGTTGATCATACAGGTTTTGATGCATTATTGCGTTCACTTCCCTTTTTCTTTTTTGAGGATATACGCCACGTTTTTCCCATTCTTGTTCAGTTGGTCGCTCATAAATCGTTGGTGGAGCGAAATCGCGAAAGGGAGCGTACGGAGGGTCGACCAGCCGAAAACACAGTTCTATATTTGCCGTATATTGTCGTAAATACAGAAAAGAAGACGATGATCGATTGTGCCATCTCACACGATAAGTTCGTTTTATAGTCTCATCGTTGTGCTCTGAGCAGTTTTGTTTACCCGAAACAAATATTATACATATCCATTCGAATCAATGCATGAAAAGTGCAGTGAATAATATATCCGTACTCATTTCAGATCCGAATATTTATTCAATTTCGATCAACCTTTCGAAATTCACGATGATATTGAAGTGTTGAAACGTCTCGGCTTGGCGCATGGTTTGGAACGTGCCGAGGTACCAGTTGATCAACGCGCTAAAGTTAAATCATACTTGCCTCCGGCACTCAGAGACTATGTTGATCAAATTTTAGAAGGTGCTTTCTTTTCCTACGTCTCTCTCGAAAGGAAACAAACAAGCAGTTGAATCCGAATGAACGTTCTCTCATCATAACTTTTGATGAAGTGAAATTGATGACGCCTTGCCTTTAGCAACACACTGCAAAGAGTTTCTTTAAAATGCCCAAAGCAATGTTGTGAGATTATTGATTCTATGCGGAAGCAGATCCTGATTCAATGAAGCGATGAATTTCGACATCCACATTTACTAATGCTGTATCTTGATAAATCTTCCAGGAACGTTATGCGGAGGTATGGTTGGACCATCAGTCAGAGTACAGCAACCAGTACAGATCGATCGCAAACCGTTCGTTTCATTTCGTTTATTCATTCTCCTATTTATTGTGAAATGTCTGATGTTAAGCACTTCGATTAGTCAATTNTGCTCAGCGTAATAATTATGAATTTGATCATTTGCAGTGTAATGCCATCGTATTCGGTCTCAGCACCACTAATGCGTAACAGTGGAACTGCTGGCATGACACAACCGCAGACAGCGTACATGCAGCAGGGGACACGTTCTTCATATGGCCACACGAATGTGATTTCTGGTGCTGGTGCCTCTCAACAAGGAGGAGTGTACGCGAACCAGGGAGGTAGTGTTGGTGGTGGAATGCGTGCCACACAGGCTCGTTACGCTGTCGTTCCGAGAGGAGTGAATGGAGGGGCGAATAATTCGGTTAGATTATTATTATTATTATTTGTTTGTTGGTCTTCATTTTGGTGTTGGATCAAATCTTTCGATAAGTAATTAATTCCATCGGACATTGAGGATTATTATTATCAGTCTGAGATATTTCAGAGATACACAACAAGTACAAGTGCTGCAAGCATGCCCAGTGGTGCATATCGAAATGTATCGTCTGCGGCCGGTACAACAGCCGTAAGCTCAGGTGGTCGTCAATATATTCTTCAGCAGGGTAGCGGAGGAGTGGTGCAAAGAAATTATGCAACATCAATGGGTGGTGGTGCTTCTAGCAGCGGCGGTATGCAAGGCATTACAGTTTCTGGAGGAAGCGGGGCTGTTCCAACTCGACAACATTCCGTGGCGTACACTATTCAGGTACGAGATTCCGTTTCATGCTGGTGGAGTAAAACTTTGAGTGCATTACTGCCATTTGAATTGTTTAAATTGTTTATCACAAGAGGTGAATTATATCAGAAACGAAGAGGTCGTAATTGTAGGCTCCAGTACAAGGGCAGGTAATCGCTGGTCAGCGTTATGAGGAGGTGTACGAAGACGAGGATGAAAACGTGCATTACGAATGATACAAATCAGTCATTTCAACGAGTTTTTAATGCAAACTGACTG